AGAGAGAGAGAGAGAGAGAGAGAGAGAGAGAGAGAGAGAGAATGATGTTAGTGACCTCCTTGCTTGGATATATGTGATTCGGTAGGGAAAGGCAGTTCTAAGAGAAATTATTGGACCTCTTCCCCAGAGGGTCAATCCTCCCAGGGGGGGCAATCAATGTCATTTGGGCCTAGTTCAGGCAATTAGGACAGACTATGGGGGCGATCTGCAAAGAAATATGAGAGAGGCTGGGCCAGGTTCCCAGCAGGTGTAGGGCCCAGAGGAGGCAGGGATTTGCATCAGCTGCAACTACTTCTATCATATAAGTAAAGTAATTTTATGAAAGCTGGGCCTGCTTCCCAGCAGGTGTAGCTCCCACCAAGGAGCAAATAGCAGCAGCACAAGAAGAAGAAAAAAGGAGGGGGAGGAGAAGGAGGAGAATCACAGTCTCATATCCATAGCTTTGTCATAACTCTCACAGCACAACATACTGTCATCTTCCCTGGAAGAGAGGGTTCAAGAAGAGAGGAGTATTGACTTCACCATCCAGCTTAAGGAAGGAAGACCCCAAAAGTGCAACATTGCGCCGAGCACGGTCATCCAGCCTTAGAACCTCCCTGGATCAACACCACAAAACCAAAGACCACACATTCAGGAATGCACCATTGACGATGAACCAAACATACAGCTCAACATCTACATCCATAATCTTAAACAACAGCGCACACAGCATAAGAACCACCGACATCAATTAGCTGTCACCTCGAGTGCCAAGACGAGTGAGCAGAGCCTGAAATGCAGTAAAAATTAAAGCTAGATAATAATCAAATGGCATTCGGAGCCCCATGGCCTAAGTAAGGAAGGCCGAAGGCACAAGAGCGCACTTTCTTAAGTAAACAAGATATCACACCATATCCAGAGTACTATGCAGGCGATCCCAGATGTGGAGGCGATCATGTATTCCATCTACTATGTTTCCCTCCAGTACGCCAATTTAAAATGCCTCAGAGTACTATGCAGCTTGCACCTCCCACAGGAAGGATGTTCCATGCTGGAGCTCTTCTTGGTGAGCTCCGCGTATGTCCCTTGCCAACCACCTTCTCCCATCTATGCCATCTACTACTACTGCCTACACTGCGCCAATTTAAAATGCCGGCAGAGTACTCTGCAGCTTGCGGCTCCCACACGAAGGATGTTCCATGCTGGAGCTCTTCTTGGCGAGCTCTGGGTATGTACCCTGCCAAACACCTTCTCCCTACAGTCTTCCCCTCCCTCCCAGGACCTCCTTTTTTTTTTTTTTTTTTTTTTTTGAAAACACATGCTCCAGTCTATTCGTGGGGAGCAGCACGTGCTGGGAACCGGGCCCAGCGTCCCATATCGAATTGTACAGATCATTGAGAACATTTGAGATCATTTGAGATACCGGAGCCAATACCCGGCTTCGGGTAAGAACAGTCTGTGAACACAATATGATTCAGAAAGCATGGGGAAGATCATGAATATCTAATGACCTATTAAGGAACTACTCATGTAATAGGCTGCCACAGAGGTCCTACGAATGCTCAGAACCCTCAGGATCCTTAACAAGCCCTTCTAAGACTTTCCAAAACAGTCTTACTCCCTGCTGAGCTCTTCCAGGCCTCACGCCCCCACCCTGCTGGGTTACAGGGCAACACAACTCACCCCAGCTCCGACCAGTGTTGTCCCAGCAGCAAACCTTGGTTGTCCCTTAGGATGCCCACCCCAAAGCATCCCCAGATCTCTCTACCAGGCCTCGCGCTCCTGCATCAGCAGGTTACAGGGCAACACCCCAGCACTGGCCAGCGTCGTCCTGGCATCGAACAGCCGCAGATCACTGAGTATAACAGCTTCGAAACCGCCTAAGATGGGTCGCTAAGATTCCCTAGAGTCCTAAGACATTCATAAGAACAGCCAACCTATTTTCCACTCTTCAGACTCTACCAAGTCACTAGAATATGTGTGTCAAAAAGCCTCCCAACCACAAATAAGATAGGTGAAATCTATTCAATCCACCTACGACCACCACCAACATGGCTGATTTCAGCACGAACCGAAGCTCTTCCAAGCCTCTTGCTCCCATCAGGTTAGGTTACAGAGTTGCACCACCTTGCTCCAGCACCGGCCAGCATTGCTCCAGTTACGACCCCCAATGACCACTGAGACTGCCCCCGCAAACAGCCCCCCAGAGAACTCTACCAGGCCTCACGCCCCCACTAAGCTGGGTCACAGAGTTGCGCCACCTGGCTGCGGCTCCGGCCAGCGTTGCTCCAGCATCGATCTTCGAGGGCCACCAAATTTCCAACCACCCTTCGCAGAATCACAGATGCCTTGCCAGCTAACACCTATTCCTACATCCTCATCGAGAGGCAAACTCCTAGGACCTCCTCTCCTTGAGCCATCTCTCTCTCATGGAGCCACCCGGCCCACCTATGGCCAGTGCTGCTCCTCTCCTAGCCTTGCTGGTTGGCTGGCTCACACTGCTGCAGGCACTGGCCGCTGCTGCACACGGTTGCACAGCCTCCTGGAACTGCCCAGCCAGCGTGTGGCCCTGGCTGCCCAGCCTCTCCCTACATGCTAAGACCGGGATCTGAACGGGCTGGTAGGCCCTCCCTGCAGGTAGCTTCCAAAAGCACACTCAGTCTGCCAGGATCCCAACTTCCTGGCCGGTAGCCTACCCCCAGCCTCTTCACAAAACTGGCCAGACCCCTTTTCCTTCTGCGCCTTACTTACGGCCCTTCTTTCTATGACGCATCTGGGAGGCCATTGTGGCCTCACACTCTGATCAGTAAACCCTAACCTAAAGCAGAAAGGGAGAGAAAAGGACTAGGAATGGGGGACTGTGACAGACTGTTCTGATGGACTTTCACCAACTCATTAGGAGGCTGAACCCTCAACAGTCTGGAGAGCCCTCTACCGGATGATACTGTCAGTGATAATGTACGGTGTACCACCAGTTAGTCATGGACCAAGCATTGCTGCCCCAGTGCGCATTCGCCTCAGTCAGGTTCAGCGTATCCAGTCCAATGGGGGTACCAAGGGCTGCAGAAAATTTTGAGTGGCCTAACTCCGAAATTTGGCAATTCTTAGTTGTCATTCCCTTTGACAAAAGAATTCAAAACAAATCATGGATATAGAGGGTAGGCCCCACTGCGGCAGCGAATTTTTGTTCTTGGGACGAACCAAATGCATATAAATGCCCCTCCTATGCCGCCCCTCCTCAGTAGGGCAGCCATTGCGGCTGGGAAGGACAAAGTCAATGTAATATCCGGGCAAAGTAGGGCTCGGTCACAGCATGTGACGATCTCTTTTCTGGTAAGCACAATTTTCTGCGCAACTGGACTTTGGGGTGGCGGGGTGGGCCTATGGTTTTAATTGCATGACGCGCCTTAGCGAGCACAAGGATAATGGTTGACGCGGCTTTTCCTTTTTCCTTTTTCTACTTGTTCGAAAATCGGACGGAGAATTTTGGCACAACCATCACGCAGAAGAAAACTCTTTTGAATTTTCGAAGTCTTAGGAAAATACGTGGTCAACCGCATGGATATTTGGAATTTCTTTTTGCATTTAGGACTTTAAATAGGCTAGGATTTTAGGCTCGGCGCACTTTTGTTTGGTTGCAGTTGTAACTGCATGCTGCTCCTCACTCGCACGCACCTTGCTACGCTCTGTCTTGTGCTCTCTTCCCACCGCGCCTTAATCCTAATCCCAAATGTAATTCTCTCCTTCCCTTCTTGGCGAGTGCGGGTATAACTGTAATCTTCTCCATATTGATTTCTCTCCGCGCTGAAACTTGCGGCCTCCTCTCCCTTCGTCTCATTGGCCAGAACAATGTATGACTGGATCAATGCATGGAGAGTGGCTACATCCCCCACGTCACGGCCCAGGCATGCCGATCATAGGCACTTCCTTCTCTCTCCTCTCCCTCTTGCCCCAGCGTAATTCCGGCTATCTTGCGCAGGTGCTGAATGCTATAAATCTCGCACGCGCGACTAACTTGCTCTCTAATCTAAACTTTTGGAGTTAGTGTGATCAGGATCGGCTAACGAGTGTGAGCATGTATGAAGGTGAGTGCGGAGCTGGGCGATCCAACAAGCTGGTGGTGAGTGTGCGAGGTTGACGTGTGGCGGCGACGGACTGCGGGGCACGGGCGAACCTGGGTTGCGTGCTCAGACCAAGCAGGATGACGACTCTGGGTTGTTAGTAGGTGAGCGGCGACGAACTGCCCGCGCCGCAGTAAGGAAGCGGACGATGAAGGTAGTAAGGGCGCACGGAGTGCCAAGGTGGTGTTGGGACTTCTTTTTCTCGCCCTCCAAAATTTTGGTTTCACCTTTCAAAATCCTGCCTTCGTAATCTCGGACTTTTTGCAAGATTGTGTGATCTCCTTTCCGTCTCGTGTACTTCTCCCCTTCCTTCTTTCTCTTTTTCCATGGACTAGGCCACGTGTGATGGTTGTGGGTCGATCGTCTCAACTTGCATGCATAATCTTTGTTCATGATTTGGAGATTGGATGATTGGGGGATAAATGCACGGAAAGTCTTTTCCGTCTCGTGCACTTCTCCCCTTCCTTCTTTCTCTTTTTCCATGGATGACGCCACGTGTGATGGTTGTGGATCGATCGTCTCAACTTGCATGCATAATCTTTGTTCATGATTTGGAGATTGGATGATTGGGGGATGGATGCATGAAAAGTCTTAACCCCTAGGAATCAGGGAAAACAGCCGAGTTGGTCGTCCCGTGTCGCTTTCTTTGCATTACGGACGAACGTGGGCACGTTGTAGGTGGCCGCTGAGACAGCCAGCTGTGCATGCACACGTACATACGGTTCGTCCACATCAGGGCTGTATCTGTAATGTCTTCATCCCTCTGATTCTGCCAAAACATGACCGTATTGGTGTGAGTTCGTAGCATGGAGTTCGGTGTCCCCTTTCGAGTAACCGATCGGGAGTGCTTGAGGGATCGTGAATATTTGAAATATTGGGAAAACAAGTACTTCTCTCGCCACCAGCTATCGAGACTCTATGCCTTCCGGCATCAGACCGGAGAAGAACGTTTATGCGAGTTGGATATCCAACAGGCTTCGGACAGCAGTCCCCGACCCACGCAATATCCCTACACGCATAAAACTCAGGTGTTCACTAAGTCGGGATTCGTGGCCATTGAAACTGAATTTCCTCCTCACTATCTTCTCCTCCCCTGCGACAATCTAACTGTTATTCCCTGGCGTGCATTAGCCCCCTACTGGCCACGCACCCCGTGCTCTGAGTGCATACGCGACTACTTCTACCGAGCGTCAGGTTCCATCCAGTGAACCCGCACCGAGGCTGTGTCGAGAACACACCCTTCGACTAAGACTGTCCACGTCGGATTCTAAACTATGTGAGTCCTGTAAGCACTACGTGTTGGAACACGAGATACCCACCATGTCCCTCTTCTGCATGGTATACGCACCCGTCGTAGGCGAAGACGCTGACCAACCTGAGTACTCCATCTTGAGAACCTAAAGCTGAGAAGAGCCCCTTCCAATCTGCACCATTTCAATTTTTGTCCTTGGAACCTTGGCATGGGAGATCCCACTTCCGGGCCCTATCTCACTCCG